TTTAGCACTTTCATTACTATTTTCTACAGGAGTCAGTAAAAAGCCTAAGTATTTGTTATACAAAAATTTTTAGATTTTCCAATGGACTATCGATTAAAATGTATTAGGAATTAAAAATAACAAATGGTAGTTAATAAACTAACAACTGCAATAACAAATTAGAGTTTTCAAAATTTGATTCTCAAGAGTAATAAATATTGAAGTCGATGTCGTCTATCGAAGACGTTCGTAGCTAAGGATTAATGATCTGTTTCTGGTTTCAAAGCATATACGAGGTGTGTTCAAAAAGTACCCGGAATTACTAATAATTAAATTCGCGGGTCTGGAGTGTCTGATTGTCAAAATTTTTTTTTATTGTGTTGGTATACATGCCCCTAAAGTATGATGAAATTTTCAGCTATATTCACTGTTTACTTTGTCTGTGGTAGTCGCTAAGGTTCGACGTGTTTTTCTGAGCTCGGCGATTTTTACAATGGAAGAATTGAAAAGTCAAAGAATTTGTATTAAATTTTGCGTAAAAAATGAAATAAAGTGTTGCAAAGTGCAAAAATTCACCAGATATGGCTCCGTGTGACTTTTTCCTATTCCCAAAGTTGAAGAGACCCATGAAAGGACGGCGGTTTTCCTCGATTGAAGAAAATCGCTGAGAGTGCTCAAGGACATATCAAAAAGTGAATATCAAGGGTGCTTCGAAAATTGGAAAAAACGCTGGCATAAGTGTATTATATCTGGGGGGGACTACTTTGAAGGGGACCACATTAATGTAGACGAATAAATAAATATTTTTTTAAAAAAACGAAAATTCCGGGTACTTTTTGAACAGACCTCGTATACATATTTAGTATCCACATTTTATTACTTCATATTGTTTTAATAATCCATATTTTAGTAGCTTTAAATATTAAATCAATAAAATATTTAATTTTTTTATCGAAATTTTGCACTTCGTAAATTATGTTTTGTAAAGGTGCGCCTCACCTCACAAACGAGTACGAACGAATATGACGTTTGTTTGAAATTTTTATTCTGTGCATATTATTTGTCATGTTCGTTTTTTAGGTGAGGCGCACCTTAATATTTGAATTTTAGCTTGAGCCAGCGAACAAAATAAAGATAAGTTGCGAAAAAATGAAAATTTTAGAATCTTTAACTGATTATTCAATATAATTATGAGAATTAAAAAAAACTCATTAGGTGTAAATGGAATTTTGCCCCAAAGCAAATTGAATTATCTTCCCGATGTGAGTAAATGAGCGACTTGATAAGAATTGAGATTTAGCAACGTCAGAATTTTCAAAATTTGGTCTATTTTAAATTTAAATGAATATTTATAAAAAAATCGATTATCGTAGGCATATTTTAGGAGACTATAAAACTCTATCATCATGCAAATTTTCATCACAATCGTTAAAAAAATTCAACACCGAAAATCGGCCAGATCGATCTTTACCATAAACTAACCAGCACTCTGTTCCCAGCTAATATATTTCAAAGAATGTCTGAATTTTTAAATCAGCTTCAGAAATATTTTGAAGAATGTTGATAAAAAATGTTGCACTTTTGTGAAGAATTTCTAAAGAAATGGCTCGGCCGATCATCTCGCAAAACTAATCAATGCGAATCAAATCGAGTTTCAAAAAATTATTATAATATGGTTAAAATCGAGACAGCCGTTTTCGAGAATGTCGACAAGATGTCAATATTTGATCACACTCGTAGTTTTTCCAATGTTTGGTATCAAACGATTTATAATGACTTGAACATCGCGATAATTCAAAATAAGCAAATCGGTTTTTCAAAACCAAACTTCAAGAATGGTAATAAATGTATATATGTAATATATTCTAAAACTTGTATATAAAGGAGCTATAAAATATAAATCAATAAAACAATTACATTTTATTATTAATTACCACTTACGGACGTCAAATTAACAGCAATTTGCTAATTAAATTATGTTTTGTAATGTACATAAAATTGTTTGGAGTTATAGTTTGTACTTTGCACCATTGGAAGAAATGAGTAATTGATAAAGATGCAAATTGAAAATTTTAGAATATTTAACAAGGTTCTATATAATTGTGAAAAATTATTAAAAAATCAATAATATTATATTGTAATATAATATAACATATCATCAAAAACAATTTGAAACCATACAACTATTTTTTAAAGAGTTTTTCCTGAGAGTATGTAGTCAAACGCACAAACGCTCGAAGACGAAAACAAATGTATGATGTACTTCATTCTAGATGTCAGAGGTCTAATTAATATCCAATTAAACAATTAAGTCATTAAATTTATATGTCTGAGAAAAAGTCTGTGCATATAAAAAGATAGACATAACTAATAATCTACTCATTTTCTAAATTTATACTAAATTTAAAAATAGAAAAAAATGTTGTTTTAAATTTGATTCGGATCTAAAAAATGACATCTAGCCAAACAGGTTAGCAAAAACATTAATAATAACTAGTCAAACTTGTTGAGTTAGAATAAACTTTAAAATAAGATATAATTTGATAGCAACAAAGTTTTTGTCAAATCTGGCAGCTGATTTCGTAATAACACGAAAATATACATTTTTAAAGTTATACAAAGATCTCGTTTTATGTTGTAAATTTCACAAATATCATTTTTGCATTTTGTATATTAATTTTACATTTTCATTCGTTAATGTAATATTATTTAAATTATCTTTATTCAATTCCAAATTCTACATCAGAAATGTGATAGCCAGGAACAATCAGAAGTATAAAACCGGGATGACTGAAAGCCTTAATTGCCAGACAAGACAGACCAAATTTATATAAAAATCTTATGATCTATTTTATGTATAACAATAAATAAAAATCCATTTGTCCACTTTTTTAGATTTTGCACATCATTATTATAAAGAGCAATCTTCGTTTTTTGATTTACTCTTTTTTGTCTACCCTTTTGTGTATATTTGATTACTAAGTAATTAATTTAATTTCTCATATAAATAACCAAGCGAATCAAAAAATCAATTTCAACATGAAACAAGCATGTCTATTATTGAAAAATAAAAACAAAAATGCAAAAAATCATAAAATTAAGGACAAAGCTCCTTGAAATGAAAATTAAACGAAACGAAAATGAAAGTAAACCGATGCTCTTAATTATGCAAAATTCAATGAGGAAGAAAATGCATTTTTTAAATGTGGTAAAAATGAAAATATATGGAACCGGACAAAAAATAAATTAAAATTTTATAATAGATCTAAATGAGGAAGATAAACGTATGAAATTGGGTATAAGATAAGAAGAAAAAATATTATATCATGGTAATTACGTTGGCTTTAAAATTTATTTAAATTAATAACCACAATAAAAGATTTCTTAAGGATCTTCTTGAGGAAGAGAGAAATGTAAAAAGTTTACTGAGAAATAAAAATAACAATAACTGATTTATGTACAAAATTTTGTGAATTATGATATATATGTTCCATTTGGGAAATTGAAATTTTTCCATATTTCAACGCACTCCAAACGAAAAATACCGAAAACAACTGATCAAAAAATTTCTTTTACTAAGGATCTTCTTAATGAACGAGAGAAAAGACCATATTAAGAAATGAAAATACTAGCAACTAATCATGTACAAAATTTTGTAAATTATGATTGGGAATTTGGCATTTTTCCACATTTCAACGAACTCCATTTATTCAATAATAGTAAGTATATTCCATTTATTCCAAATTTTTAAATTATGATATATTATATGTTCCATGTGGAAATTTGGGATTTTTCCATATTTCAAAAAATCCAAACGAAAATAACCGACACAATCAATCAACAAATTTCTTTTCCTAAGGATATTCCTAAGAAATATAAGAAAAAACGAACTCCAAACGAAAATTACCGATAAC